CATATAATTTTCGGTTCGGTTTCAATAATGGTTCGGTTTTTGGTTCAGTTTTGGGCTCATTTTGGCCCGAATATAGCCCCAAAACGTTAATAAATCAAGTCAAAATTCAGAAATAAAAAAATAATGAAAAAATAGCCCAAATGTAGGCCCAAAAATCAATGAAATTCATTCAAGTAAAAAATATATATATATACTTAAATGAAACGACGTCGTATTGATGTCGGTTCGGTTCCTCGGTTCGGTTTCCTACATGGAAAACCGAATAAGAACGGACATTTTCGGTTCACATAAAATTGAAAACTGAGTATATGGTTTATGCTTCGATTCGGTGCAATTCGGTTCGGTTTTGTCGATTTTCGGTTCGGTTCCTCGGTTTTTTTTTTTCTCAGGGGCAACGTACACTTACATAGTCTGGAGAGGGTTCTTCCTCAACGAATCCGGTGCCGACTCTATCTATCCCATCGACTGTTGAAGTTGGTGATTCGAGTAACCAACCGGTCCGAGGCCCTGAGATATCGATGTTGTACCTAAACTTTGATAAGCATATTGGTTATCATATTGTGAATGGAGACCCAGAGCGGTCCGAGTGCGGCGTCGAATTTCGATTTCGAAATCACACGAAGAAATTGAATGGCTGGAGTTCGGCGCCGTTTAGTATGGAGGCCATACAAAGAGCTCGATTGATATCAGTTGTACACGCCTCGTACAACATTGTGGACGACCATCTACTTACGGCCTTCATAGAGAGATGGCAGCCGGCTACCAACACATTTCATTGACCTGTTGGAGAGATGATCATCACACTTGATGATGTGAGCACATTGGTCGGTTTGCCGGTGGTTGGACATACTGGATCTTGCGAACGTTTGACACGTGATTCCTATACGCATGCCAGTAATTTGATGCCCGAATTGCTAGGTGAGTACTCGAAAGATGTGGATAAGAGGAAAGCGGTGAAGTTGGAATGGTTGAAGGCCAAATTTAGTAAAGTGACCAGGAGAGTAGTGCGGAGGACATACGCCATTAGGGCATATTTATTATTTTTGTTGGGGTCTACCATATTGTGTGACAAGACCGGTGTTAAGTATATATTTTTATACTTTATCGTACCTTTTTATTTGAGCTTTTGGTGTGATTTAACGATAATTGGTGGTTAAAAAGTTGATTTATTGTATTTTAGGTATAAATTGAAGAATTGGAAAAGTTTGAGGTCAAAACTGCAAATTTGGAGAAAATATGGGCCAAAAGTGAAATAATCAAAAATATGCTGAAATTGGCTGAAAACAGGCCCGCACGGCCGTGCCAAAATTAGCCTATTTTTGGCACGGCCGTGCCAAATGCTGAATTTGGGCAGAAGGTTCAGCGATTCTCGTGCGGCCGTGCGAGAATTGCACTGATTTTCGCGCGGCCGTGCCAACACACGCTGGACACAATTTTGGACTTTTAATCACACAAGGAAACCTAAAATCATCTACCAAGTTGGGACATCTATATAAGGGCAAACCAAGCACGAATTAGAGGACTTTTGGGAGACAACCTTGAAGCGAGAGGAGCGAAGAACGAAGATCAACGAAGACTCAAGCATAGTTTTTCTTATTTCTTTTATTAATTCTATTTTATTTATCATAAGAATTACGAGTAGCTAAGTTTTTAATGTAGGATTTTGTTGGAACTCTATGTGGGGATGGTGAACCCGTTTTCTTGAGATTATGCAATTATGATTTTATGATTATTTCTTCTACTTGATATGATTGTTACTGCATGAACTTGATCAATTTATGTGCTTTATCTGTGATTATTGGGATTGACTCGACAGAGCTATTCTGATAATTAGATGGTAAGTATAGGAACCTTCGAGTAGTTTTCACCGGATGAGTGTGTCAATTGCATGTGGTGTCGTAGACATACAGATATCACCTTAGGTAGCCATTTACGAGACTTGTTAGTTAATGCTTTATTCATAATTGGTTTGCATAGACATATAGTGAATCGTTTATGAATAATAGACTCATTATACACGCGACAGCGGGTTATGAGTAAATTAGTGTCTCGGGTTAATAATCATGAATCATATATTGCATAATTGAGGGGTTTCGGGTGAGCAATTCTTGCATAGGGGGATAAATCCTAGGTCCGTTTTAATTG